GTCCTGAAACCGCAATGTCGTTTTCCTGTACTGAACTACTGTAGTTCTCGTATTTGTTAAAAGATGGCGGAATGAGATTTGAACGTTTGAGACGAAACAAGCTAGATAAGATTTGGTAGTTTCGTTTGTCATTACCGCAATAAGTAGGCATCCGGTGTATTTCTTTCGAAATATAATTACGTGTTATTAAATTATGAACTTTAAAAAAAGTGCTTTCGCCGCTTAAATACTCTAATAAACTCATAGAAGTCGAAAGCTTTGAAGCAAAACTTATACTATACTGCGCCACTTTGAGAAGGCAGCACGACATGGAAACCCTCTTGTCTTAGCTACCGGTAAATACATACCTCATCCTGTGGACCGAATGGTAAACAGTCGACGTCGCCCTAAGCAGATCCACTGTTAATGGATCCTCTCCATCCATTAACGGTGCTTTTAGGTACCTCAAGCACTCGTCACCGTCCTCGCCGAACCCGTCGCGTTGTTGCCGAGTAAATTATCCCATAAACACAGCCCACAGAGCTTCTCACCGGATCTTCTCAGTGGGTCGCGTTTCCGATCGCGTGGTAGAATTCTGCGAAGCACTGCTCATGCTAGGGCCAGTGTTAGCAAAACTCCCGATTTGAGCTCCGTGAGCTCACCTACTCGCCCGGTTACGCTGACACAGCCTCTCATAGCTTAGGTAGGGAAAAAAAGACTACAATATTTAGAAATAAAAAATCTTAAAATCGCTCCAGTTTTAGCAAAGGGACAAAGGAGTATACAACGACCAACTTCGAGACTTCCGATTGACTTGAAATTTTGGACACGTATCAAGGACAGATGACAAAAGAAATTCATTATATTGACCTGATAACCCTGACAGGGATCAAATGATAATTAGATATTAAATTTAAAATATTACTCTTTTAAGTTCAACTTGCTATTCTTTTTTTTTTATTGCTTAGATGGGTGGACGAGCTCACACAGCCCACCTGGTGTTAAGTGGTTACTGGAGCCCATGGACATCTACAACGTAAATGCGCCACCCACCTTGAGATATAAGTTCTAAGATCTCAGTATAGTTACAACGGCTGCCCCACCCTTCAAACCGAAACGCATTACTGCTTCACGGCAGAAATAGGCAGGGCGGTGGTACCTACCCGCGTGGACCCACTAGAGGTCCTACCACCAGTAACGATAGTATTCATACGCTTCGTACCCAACATAGTACATATCATATATTTTATTATTATTTTAATTAACAATCCGAACTATGTTTGTATTTTGCGTCCTCTGTACAAAAATATATGCCCTAATATATTTTAATTTATTAATTTATTAAAAATATTATAGTATTTTCCCTAAAAGACTATAATATTTTTAAAATCTATTTTCCAATTTGTCAGTAGATACCCTAAAATGAATTTCATGCAAATAGTACAATAATAACTATTCTCACTTGCAACTCACGTGACATTTCTTTTTTTTTTTTCAAGTAGGTATATAAAATACCATTCCAAAAATGGAACTCAATACATATTTTCGGAAAATCCCTGACTCGTCCTTTAGGTAACTAACATTAAACAATTAAATAGCTACGTGTTTACCGTCACCCGAATTTACATGAGAAACTTATTGGTTTTCGATTACCGAAACCGAATTTCATTGAAAATTGGAATAAAAAAAAAACTATCGGTAAAACCCGCCATCCAATATACATGCAAAGTAAAATGTAATGACATTTCCATAAATTTTATTTTAAGAGGGCGTCCTACTCTCGTCCCCCGGGGGCGAGAGGGGGAGGAGAGGGCGGGGAACTGGGTCAATGTCGCCCCGCGTTCAACCGGTATACTCTGTCTTCCCTCGTCACCGTGATTGCCTATTTACGATCTATTGATTCCTTTTTGAATTGATTCGATTTTCATTCTAAAAAGCTGTGTCTGATTATTTTTTTATGCCGTTTCTTTGCCTATGGTTCCATTTTAACTTGATTCAGGTCTGACAGTGGTACCCATAACAAAACCATCAAGTCTTCAATTTGTTTGATTTTTTTTTATATCGAAAAAATTCAATAGTACAATCTGCACCAAGGGAGAAATGTAGGACATTTCCACCCGCGTGTAAAATTGCCAAATTGGCAAACACGCGAAATGAGATGTTTTTTCCCGCGGTGCACATACTATTTTTCTCCTACCAGGCCGAAAGTTCGTGGAGTACCGAGCCGGGGTCCAGGGGCCAAGCCTTGGCAGAGGGGCGGAGCTCCCCATACGCATAAAAAACAATTTAAATGTTTTTAATTTTTAAATAAACTACTACTAATTGATTAAGAACTGTCTGATGAACTCATCTTTGTTTAATACTTCAGTATTAAAGTTTATTTTTGTTTATTTCACTTTTATACTAAGCACAATATTGCGAATTTTAGGTGCGTGAGAGCAGCCGTAGACACTAACATAATTTCAAACTAATCACTGTATACACTTCTTTCGGTCACTTCTATATGAAAAATTACCTTAGATATTTAATAAAAATTTAAATACCTAACTCCAATCAGATTTTTCATACGTGATGAATTTTATTAATTTATTTACTCACTAAGCAAATCACAATTGTGATTGTTTGTTATAAAAACAATAATAATAATTAAATGAACAGAAGAATTTACGTTCTGTACATCTATATATTAATACGTGAAGCAAAAACTTTGTATCCCTTTTTACGAAAATTACGCGGACGGAGGAGTATGAAATTTTCTACATTTAGAGAGAATATAGAGAAGAAGTGCACAATGCTAATATTTTTTTTAAATAATGCATAAAAGATACATCAAATCAATAAAGACAACATTACACACACTACACACCATGTATTTGACGCACACACGCATACATACTATTTATTGTTAAACTTTTGTTCTTGACGTTTGTAGTCAAATTATAAATATTGTTTGTCTTTATTAATATTTTTCTGTAGGTAGTCTTGGCGAAATTTGTGATTATAGAAGTATAATAGTCTTTGAAAATAGAATCATAATAGTGTGCAAACTTATAATTTCAATTAATTATAGTCGAATTTCGACTACCAGGCGACCACTAGTTTTAATAAATATACGTATTATCTCTCTCGCAGTGCGATGCAGTGAGGGTAGCTTATCGCTTTTAAACATCCGTTTTCAGAATTATCATTGCTGTGTTAATGGATCCGTTTATTACAATTTAGAATCTGCAGAATAATCGAGGCGGTTAATCGAATTAAAGAATCGATATGAAGTCACGGTACGGTTATGATATTTTAAGTTTCAAAATATAATTCCACTACAGTGAAGTCCAGTGATGGATTTAGGCTTGATTGCGCCATAGGCTCTGTGTACCGCGCTGTCCTTAATGCTAGAATAAATTTTATTAATTTTGATCCAATATTTGTATTTTAAATTTAAAATAACTTTGTTTCAATTTTTTTTATAATTATTAATCTGACCTCATTTTCAAAGAATGTCTTTAAATTTATTCGTCTCTGAAATATTGTGGCATTTTATAAATTTTGCCGCCCCTCAAATCATGCCCTCCTAGACCCGGGCCTGACGACCCTAGGCGTAAATCCATCCCTAATGAAATCCAGTCATGCTGCGCTGCGACAATACAAAAATTAAAAAAAAATAAACACTGTTTTTTTTTAAGTGGTCGCGCTTCACTTATTCCACCTTTTTTATTACTTAGCTGGGTGGACGAGCTCACAGCCCACTAGTTAAGTGGTTACTGGAGCCCATATATATCCACGACGTAAATGCGCCACCCACCTTGAGTTTTAAGCTCTAAGGTCTCAAGTATAGTTACAACGGCTGCCCCACCCTTCGAACCGAAACGCATTACTGCTTCACGGCAGAAATAGGCAGGGTGGTGGCACCTACCCGTGCGGACTCACGAGAGGTCCTACCACCATTGATGGTACTTATATCATATCAGAAACCTTCCTTGGATCTCCATCATCAACTCAACCAAGCTTCATCAAAATCGGACAAACACAGACTTTAATTAAAACAGATAATACAATCGCATTCGCATAACATTCTCATCGTAATTAAACGTCACGTCGCCGTTACACACGAGAGCGATGAAGCTATATATTTTATCGCGGCACTTGTCCGCTATCGGCGTGGAAGCGTTGTGATAACATTAATTATACCGCAGGCACTGCACTCGTAGCGCTACCGATGAACCTTGAACTTCGATTTGGGCCTCGTGTCGACTCATCCAGGGGTCAACGGTGACCGGTGTTGGAATGACACCACACGCCCTTAGACATGTCGTAATCTCGATTGTATGTAAATGCAATGCAGAATTAATGCAAATGATTATGAACAAATGTATACCAACTTTATCTATCATATATCTATAAATAACTATATTTATCTTTTATTTTATTATACAATTTTTAATTAGATCATGTACTATGTTGATTATGATATTTAGGCTTCGTTACGTATTAGATTCGTTTTTTAGCATACGCTACAACTACTTCTATCGTTGGATGTCCCATTAAATACTTGTTTTTACGAATGCTAAAAGATATATCCAAAAAGCTGCTGTTTAAGTCCGGGCGTAATGTGGGAAGGTACCATTCACGTTACGCCATCAATGAGCTTCGACAACCGCTTTATATCGAGTGTGTTATGAACACGTTTTCCTTGCTACGAGAAAAATGAAATCCATATGTATTATGGGACTTGACATTCAATTTTAAAGAATATTCTTTTTTAAGGTGTTTAATTTTAAGTTTTTCTTAATAATTTCGTGTGAATCAGTCGTTGTAGATCAATGAAAATCTAGATCGTGTTTTCGAGAATGTAATCTTAAAAAAAGTATACATTATTGATCTAGTAACAACTCGGGAAGCTACGTAAAGTGAATGAAAAATTTTGACAGTCAACCTAAGGTCAATGACTTCCAGACGTCAAATACACATTCCCTTTACATAGTCCACAAATAAATGTATTAGACAAACGATTCTAAGTTACTTACGCTCATCTTCTGTCGAGGCACGCACTCATTTACTCACGTATAATCACAACACTCATAAACAAATTGACAGCCCGTTGCTTACATGCCACATCCTCGGAACGAACACAGATAAACGCACACTTGTACACGTGACTATATAACAGTTGACACTTAATAGGCCACTCTTTTATTCTAATATTAGATTCGAACAGAGATCGGGTTAAAAACTAAGAATTTGAGGTTATATTTCGGATCGGTAGGGCATATTGGGAGCGAGTGTGCTGTAAGGCCCAAAATTGCATGCGCTCGTGTCGTTGTGTGCGCGGCTGTGTAGCGACGCGACTGGGTGAGCTCGGGGTGGGTTGTGCGCATGTGTTCGTGCGTCAAGCTACACGAGATAACATGTTTTCCACGATCGGTTTCATGATAACTGAAGTTTGGTTTTGTGACGCCAAAAACGTTCTTTGCATTGTAAATAGATGATAGGGGCGATCGGTTAAAATCGTACAGTTATTGAGTTAATTTCGCAGTAAATAGATCTATGCAATATGAATGAGGAAGAATTAGTTAAAAAGCATTGGATCGTATTAAATTAAACTCGTAATTTTCAATACAAATTTTGAATGTTTTTTTGACCCATCTGATCTTAAGTGGTAACCGGAATCCATAGACCAAAGTAGTAAATGCCGCCACCAATCTTGAGGCATGAGTTCTATTCTACAGTACAACGACTACTCCACCCTTGCTTATTATTGCTTCACGGCAGAAATAGGTTGAGTGGTGATACCAACCCGTGCAAGCTCAGAAAACCTCCTCTCATCAGTTTTTTCGTATAATACCGATAGACAAATACAGCTGATAGTCATCGAGTTTCAATAGTATAATACCTACATAAAACGATACACATATAAAACTTTCTAAAAAATTTGTTCATTTCAATACAATTTATAAATGGTCAAAATAAAAAGATTTAAAATATTGTCACCAGATTGATCGTTAAATATCTGATCCACACTGTCTCTGTCACACTTTCAGATCGATTGCGATTCTTCTGGGAAAATCCTCTACTACGAATTCTCATACTATTTTAATTCGAACCATTATTTGGGAAATAATATAGGTATACAAAACTACACATTGTCCTTAATCTAATTGAGTATAATTCAAAGATAGTTAAGTTAAATTTTCCTTTTAACACTACCATTAAATTATAGAATTTACACTTTATTGTTTTCGAATCAATCAAATGTAATCAAATCTTACTTATATAATTTTTTTTGTTGTTAAATGCACTGTATATTGCACCTATAATTGAGGTGACATTTGCCATGAACTTTTGTCAGTTTGTCAAAGTTTTGTGTTGATGATCACTTTTTTGGTGTAACTTAATAAATAAATAAACATTGAAAAAGACACGGCCCATTTATGTTTTTTACAAAGTTAGTCACTATATTAGTAGATTATTGTAGATAATACTTAGCTGCCCGCAATCCCTTTGATTGCCTTTCAAGATATTGGTGTTTCGAACATAGTTACAAATAAGTAACTTTGTCTTCATCTACAGTATTAAATGCAATTTTTGCTGAGTACATACTGATAATCGAAGAAACCGCTCCCTCCTCTCTTAGGTTAGGTACGTTACGACATGCCTTCAAAGGAATTGTACAATGAAATGTACTTTAGACTGTTTTACACATAATATCGCAATTCTCACTTTTTTTAATTATTCCTAATTCGAGTGAGAACTATAACATTAGTAATAAAAATGTCTTGTTTGTGTTGTTAAATTAAACACACACACATTGACACAGATTATTCGAGTCATTTGGAAATGAACGTAGACAACAAGAAATACAGCTGGAATTCGCTTGAGGGAAATTTCATCGTGAACGCAGTTTTAAGGGATGACTGAAAATTGCGCGAGAGAGACGTATACATGCAAGTGCTTAGTGTTAGAGCGAGATGACATTTATTTATGTGTTGTGCTACGTAAAGTGACGTGACTTATCTTCGGTTGTTTGAAACATTTTATAGGACGATTAAATCTAAGAACTGAGCCCACGTCGAATTAATTTGTGGACTAACATTGTACCGGCCTACAACATTACTGCCGTTTATGAAGGTTCTTCATTAATTCTACATCCTATTCTAAATCTTAATTACCGTTTCAATGTTTTTTATTGACAAATTAACTATAACCAAGTCTTTTAATCTGAAATGTGAAACTACCTATATTTTTTTTTAGAAGAAAGAGTTACTAGGTAGTCGCCCAAAATCATTCCGGTTTCACTGATGGGCGAGCTATAGCTTGGCTAGGAGGAGTGGGATTTGCTAACAGCTGCTCGAGCGCCTTCGGAGATCTAACAGCTCAAGAGCACTGCTCCGCGCATGAATCTACTACCGGGTCTCAATCGCGTCCCACTGAGAAGATCCGGCGAGAAACTCAGCGGGTCTCTTAGCTTGCTCTATGGAGGGTAGAGGTAAGGAGAATCGTCTCTTATGAGAGAAACTTGAAAAAGTGTTCCACTTTCAACACTAAATAACAGTTCAAAAATCCTCCAGAATGGCGCTAGCTTAGGCACAGGGTATGATATGAATTGAGCAGTTGTTAACTGATTGAAGTATGCTGAGTTAGGAAATTTAATATATTTAATGACTAGAGTAGTTAGTGACAGTGTAGTATACAATACCTCACATGTTTACGTAGTCCAAACTAAGTTCGTCAATATAACCTAAAATTATTGCTGTGGTAAAACGTAGAGACATCGATTGCATTTTCTTGTCAGCTTTAAATAAAATACTTTTTGTGATTTTGTAGTGCTTACAGATCTTTTGTCCTTTTTTATTTCTCTATCTTATTGTAATAATTGTAATTTTTTAAATAAAAAATAAATAAATAAATAACTTTCAGAGCCTTTTTTTAAATTTACCCGGTTGCTACTGTAGCGCCACCTTTATTTAGCAGATTTTAACGGACCCTTTTTCACAACAGAGACGGTTCTCATTACCTCTACCCTCCATAGCTTGCTCCTAGTTCTTAGTGAGCAAATACCCGGGAAAAACGGTGATTTAGCGTATCTGGTGTTGTTGCCAGAACTTATACACATCAAGGACTCAAGATCAGTCGCGTTGTTCCCACACACCAAGCCCGAACGCATAATTATTCTTCGGCAGACAAAGAAAATAGACTTTTTACTCTTTCACGCAAAAGAGGCTGCCATCCCACTTTATAATGAGCTTTCCCTCCGCCGCGTCGCTGTCATGTACGAGCTTGAAGAGCTTTTGAAAAAGTTCAGCGGTACGCAGTGATTTGTATGTGTCCCTGGTAGTACTTGATGAGCGATGGTAACCACTTACCACCTGGTGGGCCGTTAGCCATCAGGTTATTAAGGCTACCCATCGGCACAACTCACTAAATTTCTCGCCGGATCTTTTAAGTGGATCGCGATTCCGATCCGGTAGTAGATTTAGCGAAGCACTGCTCTTGTCAAAGCAGATGTTAGTCAACCCTCTTAGACTGAGATGATGAGTTTGCCTGCCAGTTAGAAGTCAGAATAGATCCTCGAATCGACCGGCGATTAGCTAGGAAGAAAATATAGGTCATTAAAACATATCGTGCAAAAATAGTCATAAATAAAGACTCTTTTGTCGTTAGTAGTTTCGCCAAAGATCTAGGAGCCCTAGAGTGTAACCAGTTGAACAAAAGGACCGGGTTCAGATACCCGTATATTATAAACAGTCAAAAAGACCGTTATCAATAAGGTAGCTAAAATAAACCTAGGCAACTAGCAAAGCGTAAACAATGATAGCACAAAGTAGCTTTAATCATAGCGTACTTTAAAAACCCGTTTCTCTTATCTCAAGTGTTAAAATGAAACGAAACCGCGCAGTGTCCATTTGCAGAACTATTTATTTTTATCAAGTGCACTTGACATGCGCGCTACGTGACCTCAGAATCGATGGGAACAGCGTTTGTTTGTGTTGCATCTCTCTCAGATCAATACCGAATCGTATCTAGCTGTCTCCGTTGTTGATGTGACAGTTGCGTCATCTGACCAATCACATGCGTGACGCGTGGAACAAATAGTTAGCGTGTTTCCTAATAGATGGCGTTAACCGTTTTCAATTTGAGCGAATCGAAAAGTAAAATCAAAGAATTACATGAAAATCACCTTAAAATATTTTAAATTGAATAAGTAGCAGATGTAGATGTCATGATCAAAATGTTATTACTTAACTGAATAATTGAGAATAAAGGGGTTTGACAGAAAGCAAATTTAGTTGAGCATTAATTGAAGAACAACAAAATGGACCAAGATTAAAAACCTTTATCGCTAGTTCCTAAAAGTTTAAAGCTGATGCTTCTTCAAAGAAGGTCCTCGGCTGTAAACAGCATTAGGTACTGGTGACTTCAAGCGACAGTAATGAGCACCAGGTGGACGATTTCTCGATTTATTTTAGGTAGATGGTAACAAAAAAGTTTTCGCAAATGTTTTTTTTTCAACCAGCCAGTTCATTTATAGATGCTGACGCTTTTCGCCCACGATTTCACCCCTTCATATCGTATGCATTAAAAAGCTATTATTGTACCTAAACTTATACATATATACTTTCCTGTGGTTCAAACTGCATATTTACGCACCGAATTTGCCTATTTCTGCCGTGAAGTAGTAATGCGTTTCGGTTTGAAGGGCGGCGCAGCCGTGGTAACTATACCTTAGAACTTATATCTCCAGGTGGGTGGCGCATTTACGTTGTAGATGTCTATGGGCTCCAGTAACCACTTAACATCAGGTAGGCTGTGAGCTGTTCACCCATCTAAGCTATAAAAAAAAATAAAAAAAATCGTCGAAATCAGTTCGGTCGTTTGAGCGCGGAAATGAAACAGAAAGAAAATGACTTTCCTATTTATGACATTACTACGGATTAGCAACAATTCTCTCGCTCGTCTGGTTATAGTATTTAAGATAGATTAATACTTAAATTCTAAGTTGTGAATAAGAGTTTCAAAGCGAAACCAAAGCGCGCCGCACGGGGCACACAATGGGCCGGTACTACGGACTTATGTGGCTAGATAAGAAGCTATAATCATTAGAGAATGCTACCTATTGTAATCGATATATTAACGGCCCCAATTCCTAAAACATTCTCTCATCACGCCCCCACTCAAGCAAAGGTGACGCAGAAATAGTCAAGAAACTCTTCGAAAAAGAAAAATCTCGTATGCGTCATAAAAAATCGCTGTGATATTTGATTTTGAATAATTCGAACTAAATACGAAAACATTTTATATTCCATGATTGGCTGCTCA